CTGCAATTTCAAAGATGAAAGGCAAAGTTCTTTTTCTAGTAGACATTGGCAAAATTAAAAGAAATTTCATCAGATAGAATAAGGCACAACTTTATGGTGTTAGTCTGTTGCCTTTTTTTGGTTGTTATTCTTGTGTTCTGCCCCCCACTCCTCTGCAAAAAGAAAGAAATTGTGGGTGCTTTGGGTAAGATACTTCTCTTTTCCTCTTGCTACAGCAAACACACCATATACTGTAGGATACAATAGGGTTTCACAAAGCCAGAATTTTCATGTTGCTGCTATAACTGCCATTCTCTTTTTATTGTCTTAATCTTCTCCCCTTTAATTTTGAATAATATTATAAGACTATGACTGTCATATAGAGGCAACTAGATAGTATTATTCTTAGAGATTGCACAAAGCTAGTATTATGATGCATTGGTTGAGTGGATGAATAAGTATAAATATGTTTTCAATGGCTGTATCTAACTCACCATGCCCAGTCATCAACACAAAACTATTCATATGTTCTAGAGTCACATTATGTATGCACTAGAGCTATATTCACTGGGACATGGGTGAGGCACTTTGTTGAAAAAATTCATGTTTCGAATGTAACATTTCATGAAAGTTCAAATACTACTAAATATATTTTTTCTTCATTTGGATGATGGGACTACATGTTTTATAATTGTCTATTGCTTTTGCTTTTATGCAAACTGTTTTATTGGTTTACTATCTAAACTGATTTTGCATTATTGTTTTAAAAGAAAGTATTATTAAGCCTACAAGTATCTCTCATCATTTCTGTGCATTAATAGCAGGGGCAGCCTATTACTACTGATTTTAGTGATTGAAAGTTACGGTATAATAAAAAAATAATAATTTGTTGAAGCAGCAGTTTGAAAGCCATTCTCAGGGTGAACAAGAATCAACTTGTCAGTCATTGTTTCCTGCCCTCTGCCAAAAGAAGAAAAAAGCTTAACAGTAGTTAGGGAGATACTGAGTTGAAATCTCTAAGGATGTTCCAACCTATTTGTTATATTTTCATCCCCCCTGTCCACGGATGAAAAGTGATGTGATCTTAACTTATTACTGACTGAAAAGCAGCGTCAGGGGCTTTTCTGCAGACCTCGTAATGGTTCTGACTAACCATGCTTAAAATCCAATTGCTATTTAAATCAGACAGCGAGGCCTTCTTTTATTGACATGACATTTGCTAGTCTGTGACTTGAATAGTTATATTCATCAGGTTTTTAACTTCAGAGTAACACACGGCTGTTCACTCAAGATCTTTGAAATAATAACTATAGTAAGTGATGATAACAAGACTTCACCTAAAATATCTCTCAAATTGCTTATAGTCAATCCTGAGAGTCAAAATAATTATTTTCTTAGAATTATATTTATAACTTTCAGTTTTATCAAGCTCAGACATCTTGTTCATACTTGAATTATGAGACTAGAAATCACTCTATTGTCCATACTTAAAGGTAACATTACACATCATGCATTCTGATAATTTTCTTTTTCTTTCTTTTTTTTAATTTCTTTTTTATGTTCTCACCACACCATTGTAATGTCTACAGCTCGCCCTGTTGGTAAGTAGCCATCCTTCTATCCACTTAGCATGGCTTTGCACAGTGCTTCATAACTCATGCATAGTAAGATTTGACAGAATGAAATTTATTCACCCATGTTAAAATAATGCTTGTGAGACTGCTGTAAAAGTTGCTCCTGATTTTACTATCACTTTGATAAACCATTTTATAGTGACTTTTGTTACATAGCAATGAGTTCATAACAATTTTCATGTAAAAGAATATTTGAATGATTAATGTTATACACTGATTACATACAGGAGAAAAATACAATACTTTCCTTTTTTCTTGTATGTATTAACATACATCAACTATTAGTTATGTTTGATATTAGTTAACATGAAAGGTTATAAACTAAATTATGATTTTCTATTACTTTATGCAATTCTTTTATTTTAAGCTACTCAGAGTCCCAGGTTTTTAGGGGAATTTTTAACTGCTGCATATTTATTGCCTGCATGCCTATTTAAACAAAATTAAGTAGAATGCTTCAAGTTAATGTAAAGTAGATGCTTACCCTAAATGGGGAAGGGAAGGTTGAGCTATGTTCTTTGGCATGAAAAGTTAGTGCTTGTGATTTTAATATATCTCATCCTTCATTTGGCTTTGCAAAATTGAAGTAAGTTAACAGTTTGCATTTGCAGAAATTTAAGTGGTAATTATTTATAAACACTGGCAGATAAAATCTTTTCCAATCATTGATTTAATAATCTTTCTGCATCTCTTTCAAATTTTAGTTTAATCGACCAACAAGTATATTTAAATAAATCTTGGTAATTGTGTTACAAGTAAGTGAATAGGTGGATGAATGAATGAATGTGTTTAATATTTTGCTTCTTTAACATACTGAGATACTTTTATTATAACTTATTCAATTTCAAATACTTTATAAATTGTCCATCTAGCTTTAAGAGCTTTCTTAATATACTAGCTTGACATTGTTGACCCCTGATGTATATTGGTCCTAACTCAACATTTTTCTCCACTTTGGTTGAAACATTCTTGGACTTTATTTTTATATATTATGTTCTTACATGGTTAGCAAAATCGTAAATAAAATTTTGGTTTCCCACTCTGACTTTCTGATCTGTCTTTTCCTAGCAATACTTTTTTGATTAGTAATTTAATATCCCTGATCCTCAGTCACTTCTAAAAAATGGAGAGAATAATACTGACTTATCAAAGCTGTTGCAGGAATAGGTTTATTTTAAGGTTGATCATATACGTGAAAAGTGTTTTGTATACCAATATTGGCTGGCATATGCCTAGTTTCTGAGGCATATTACTTTACATTTTAATATTTCTGAAATATGGTTATGGCTTACAATTAATTGAAACAAACTACGGGGCTTTTTTTCCTTGAAATTATTAAATCAATAGTGCATTTTACAATTGATGTTGCTTAAAGATTGAGAAATATGATGCTATAATTTTTAAGCCTCATTTTCTTGTATTTATAAGAATTTCTATTAATAGTAATTTTACATGTA